GACACTCGGGAGCCGGGTTACTGTAATAAGATATTACAGGGGAAAAAGACACTCGGTAGCCGGGTTGCTGTAATAGGATGTTACAGGGGGAATAGGACACTCTGGAGCCGGGTTACCGTAATAAGATATTACAGGGGAATAAGACACTCGGGAGCCGGGTTACTGTAATAAGATATTACAGGGGGAATAAGACACTCGGGAGCCGGGTTGCTGTAACAAGATATTACAGGGGGAATAAGGCACTCGGGAGCCGGGTTACTGTAATAAGATATTACGGGGTAATAAGACACTCGGGAGCCGGGTTACTGTAATAAGATATTACAGGGGTAATAAGACACTCGGGAGCCGGGTTACCGTAATAAGATATTACAGGGTAATAAGACACTCAGGAGCCGGGTTACTGTAATAAGATATTACAGGGGAAGGAAGACACCCGGGAGCCGGGTTACTGTAATAAGATATTACAGGGTAATAAGACACTCGGGAGCCGGGTTACTGTAATAAGGTATTACAGGGTAATAAGACACTCGGGAGCCGGGTTACCGTAATAAGATATTACAGGGGGAATAAGACACTCGGGAGCCGGGTTACCGTAATAAGATATTACAGGGTAATAAGACACTCGGGAGCCGGGTTACCGTAATAAGATATTACAGGGGAATAAGACACTCGGGAGCCGGGTTACTGTAATAAGATATTACAGGGGTAATAAGACACACTCGGGAGCCGGGTTACTGTAATAAGATATTACAGGGTAATAAGACACTCGGGAGCCGGGTTACTGTAATAAGATATTACAGGGGGAATAAGACACTCGGGAGCCGGGTTACCGTAATAAGATATTACAGGGTAATAAGACACTCGGGAGCCGGGTTACCGTAATAAGATATTACAGGGGGAATAAGACACTCGGGAGCCAGGTTACTGTAATAAGATATTACAGGGGAATAAGACACTCGGGAGCCGGGTTACTGTAATAAGATATTACAGGGGTAATAGGACACTCGGGAGCCGGGTTACTGTAATAAGATATTACAGGGGTAATAGGACACTCGGGAGCCGGGTTACTGTAATAAGATATTACAGGGGTAATAGGACACTCGGGAGCCGCGTTACCATAATAAGATATTACAGGGGGAATAGGACACTCAAGAGCCGGGTTACTGTAATAAGATGATACAGGTGTAATGAGACATTTATAAAGTGGTTTGCTATAAGAACTTCTTACAGTTGTCAAATCAAATGAACTCTCTAAGGCATGTGAGGGGTTAAATGGTGCCCATATGCCTGGCATCCTCTTGGGGAGGGGGAATGCCCGTGAGCTGGTAACCAAAATCTCAGTCCAGATGGTGACCAGCAACTGTATTTGCAGAAGGAACAGATGTGGGTGCAGCGCTAGAGACTTCAAACAGCTGGCGGGTAGGGAAGGTGTTGAAGCAATGGATGGGGGACTCCCTACAAAAGTGTGACAGTGTAGCCGTCTCTCACACATCCCGCACTACGGCAGGACTTGTATGAATGCACCTGTGTACCGCAGAATCTGTACTGACAATGGAACTGCTGGAATCACCAACATATGCTCATCTGTGAACATCGCACAGCACACAGTAGCATTGAAATGTTGTGGTCAAAGGAACACAGAATGCATAAAATTAATATATATTGTACATAGAACAACATGTGCTTTACCGTATGTGTACAGCCTTTTTTTTATATATATAAATTAGTAACTTTTCTGTCTAGTACAGAAGAGAAAGTACAATCGTCAACTAATTTATATATAAGAATTAGGTAGAATTAAGAGACTTTGGGGCTTATTTACTAAAATTGGAGAGTGCAATTCTGGAGCAGCTCTGCACAGTAACCAATCAGCTTCCAGGTTTTTTTTTGTCAAAATGTAATAGAAGAAACTGAAGTTAGAAGCTGATTGGCTACCGTGCACAGCTGCACCAGATTTTGCACTCTCCAGTTTTAGTAAATTAACCCCTGTGTGTTTGCCGTGGAAGCCCGCTTCCCTGCCTGTTATTTAGAGCTCATACACAGGGCCATAGAAATGCACACATGATCTTGCTGGTAGAAAGATCCAGCTTCAAATGGTCCATAATGCATCTCAACTCAAACAGACATAAATGCCTATAGACAAAATACGATTCCTCCTGCGCTCCAGGACCCAGGCCGGTGGTGATAGGTGAAATCAAACCCAAACGAAATGACCACCAGAGCATAGAAGGTCGTGCAGTTCCAAAACAAGGCTGGGGAAGCCCGAACAGTACTGCAAAGTGAAAAAAAAACAAGCGCACCAACCTTGCGCATTACCTCAGTAACCAAAATTTATTAGTAAAAGAATGGTACTCACAAACAGCGAATAAAAACAGGCATGTAAGTCCTCCCAGGGACTTCAGAAAAACAAGAGGCCAGCGCGAATCCCAACCTTCTTCCTCAGAGCAGCTCTGAGGAAGAAGGTACGTCCTTCGAAATGCATCAGCTGTACTGAGTGTCTACCCCCATGATGGGATTCGCGCTGGCCTCTTGTTTCTGAAGTCCCTTGGAGGACTTACATGCCTGTTTTTATTCGCTGTTTGTGAGTACCATTCTTTTACTAATATATTTTGGTTACTGAGGTAATGCGCAAGGTTGGTGCGCTTCTTGTTTTTTTTTTCACTTTGCATAAATGCCTATAGAGCAGGGGTCTCCAAACCATGGCCCGCGGGCCACATCTGGGCCACTACAAGATTTAAAGTGATATTAAAGGCAATAAAAAAAACATGTTATACTTTCCTACTCTGTGCAGTGGTTTTCTACAAAGCTGCCCCAATCCTTCTCTTCTTGCTGGCGGTCCTGGCTCCTCACTCCTGTCGCGTGCCCCTAGAGCAAGCAGCTTGGTATGGTGGCACCCAAGCAGGCTCGCTCTCGAGTTACTGCTCTGTGTGTCCGTTCATACAGTGAGCTGTGGCTTGAACCCACCCCCTCTCTCGCCTCCTTGGCTCACTCGTTCTGATTGACAGCAGCGGGAGCCAATGAGAAGGGAGAGTCCCCAGGGAGCCAAAGCTGTTGTGCGCATCACTGGATTGTGATGGAGCTCAGGCATGTATTGGGGAACTGCTGCATACAGAAGGTTTTTTTACAAGGTCAGCAGAGTGGTCTCTGCTTCAACCCCTTCCAAGCTACACCTGAACTATGTAATGGTGGGGGCTGTGATGGGGACCCTAATTGGACCAGTAGAACAGCCTGCGTAGCAATCCATTGCTGCGCAGGTCACTTTAGCAGTACCATTTTGCATTATCGCTTGCGCAGTGTGACTTCAGTAGGAACATGTTCACTGCAATAGTCACTATATGGTGCTTGTTCCCAAGGACGAACATGAGGATGCCCATTGCTCGGGGACAGATCCCTCACAAAGGTCAATGTCCTAGGGAAATGGGAACAAATCCTAATCCTTCCCTCACACTTGCTGAAACCTAATACAGCCAATGCAAATGAAAGGACTGTACTCAGGCTGGACCACAGTTTTGCTCTTCCTATGACATGACCTACCACCATGACATTTGGGTTCCAGCATCCAGAGACTGGATATAGGTAAATATGAACTTTTTTCCATTGTAGTTTGGAGGACAGAGGGGGCAGGATGGTGTCATATGGGTGATCCTTAGGCCACTTTATATTTCATAATACACACATTTGCTTGACGTCTGTTGAACTGAGTCACCCTGTGGTTTTTCTTTCTGCTGAAAATTCCAGTGGTGAGAAATTAATGCCATATCTTCTGGCTCTTTTCCTAATCAGTTTGGGGTTTTGTGAGTTCCCACTGCTCTACATGCTTTCTCCATAGTAAGAAATAAATGAAAAATCCAGCAGAAACAGATGGACTTCTGCTATTGGCTGAAAGAGTTTATGGCTGAAAACTGGCACCATATTCATACCTGACCATTTGAAACCCCAAGAGAGGCCCCATTGACTAGAATGGGTGGGTTTGACAGGCGCTCCCGCCTCTCAACTTGAAATGCCACCTTAAATTTGCTGTGGCATGTGAACAGCCCCCATCAGCTGTAGAGTAGGCTTTCAGTCGGCTGTCGGGGGTGGTAAAAACACTGCTTATTATTCAAGTAACAGGGACACTTTCATATCTGTTGAAGGTGCAATTTTTTTAAACTGCACAAAAGATGCAACAAGCAGGGATTTTTTTGAAACACTAGAAGATGTGAATTTCTGCCCAGTAGAATTTTCTGCCCCACGGAGGCCTAACATAGTCACACGTGACACCATCCCACTCAGGCATCAACAGCAAGGCTCTTACTTTCCATTCATCATACATCAGCATCAGAGGTTGGTCATCAGCTCTGAGGAAAGGGATTCATCCCCGAAACGCGTCCGTATTTGACCGCACTGACAGTGAGAACACCTTGCCTGCCGTTGTGGCCATTGTCATTTTTCTATGCTTTTTAGATACATGCTTCGTCTGTGAGTATGTTTTTATTATTCTTTCACTCCTACAATAAACCTTGGATAATGCACTAGGTGTGTGCGCCACCTGTTTTCTCTCTATCCAGTGGCTGATTTCCCCATATAAGGAGGGCTGCACTCCTGACGCATTTCCTTTGGTTGTCACTGTCCTGGTACCCTTGGCTTTCCTTTTGGCTGTGCATATCCTAAGGCGCTGGAGAGTACATATGATATCCCATGGTCCTTCAGTCTGGGAAAAAGGAGGCAGGTGCATCTTGGGAGCTCAGACCCCATTTTAAGAACTGATGAAAAGGAACCAGCCATGATTCTCTGCAGCACTGAACTTATGTCCCCTACAGGCAGCATCGCTGGTGAGCATGGACTTGTTGCCATTTGCAACCTAATCACTTCATTGTGTTTTTATGCTTCATATATTGATTGCATGTATTTATTATCTGTTTTTTTCCCTAATTGTTTCACCCTAATTGAGTTAACTTGGATGGTATGAATGAGATACCCCAAAAATACTGAACTGACTTATTTAAGGACACTTCTCTTCCCATAGGTCTGACAGAAAGTTCCCTACTGGCTGAAAAATGCCTAGGTCCTCCTCTTGAAGAACTGAGAAGTGCACACAGTCACTAGAGCACGGAACTTGGGACGATACCAGGGGCGGACTGACAACTCATGGGACCCCTGTGTCCTTACCCAAACTCAAAAAAGCCTATGAAAAAGGTACCAGGGGCATCTCATGGGGCCCCCTACTGACCCCGGGCCCTTGGGCAGTGCCTGAGTTTCCAAATGGTCAGTCTGCCCCTGGACGGTACTCACTATGCCACAGGATCATCTGTTGCCTCCTTCCGATATCCACTGGCACTCTTCAGAGATCGAGATGCAGACTCACAATACCACAGAACAGCTGGACACTCTTCCCCCATCCTCCACCAGGTTCTCTTCAGTGAGCTTCTCCAGACCATACAAATCCCAGATCAGACTTTTTGGAAATAAACCCCTAGCTTAAGCTGGGACCCCGATGACCTTCAGGCAGTGTCTCCAGCAGACTGCCCTTAAAAGTACATATTCATCTCATGAAAGCAACACAAAGCAATCTGCGATACATCAAGACGTAACAGAACGATGGAATCCCAACAGGCTGACGCGTTTCGAGGACTCATCCTCTTCCTCAGTGGGCTTTGCTTTGTGCTGCTTTCATGAGATGATCATGGACTTTTATCCACTTGTGAGTATAATACTTACCATTTTATACATTAACCTCTGGGCCTAGACGCCGAGTGGCCGCATATTTGCATTCTATTAAAAAAACCATATGTGCTGAGAGCGCGCACACTGCGCGCTCCCAGCACACGCGTTCGGTACTCACAAAGGGAGGAACCGTCCCTTTGTGTGATAACATTTTGCCCTTTCTGTTCTGGTTTTATCCCCTTTGTAAAGCTGTATATGTTTCACAGACATTCTACACTGTTTAGGGAAATGTGACCTTGTGGTCTTTCACTTCTATAGAGTTTCATATTGTATTGTTGGGTTGTAGGGTTTTGCTGTGGGTGGGGAAAACCCAGTGCCAGGCTGTCTGGTGGGACTGAAGGGGGGCAGGGATTACTGCCAGGATGTGCTGTATATACTGAGCTGTGTTTAATAAAAAGAGTCATTTTCACCCTACACGAAGTTCCGACTCGTGGTTTGGGGAAGGATTGGTTTTGAGCTTTAATACCTGCCTGGACAGAGCGCTGGAAGACTTGCAGGACAAGGGGACCATTGGGTGAGACATACTGCTCCGCACGAGGAAGCCCAGGCGGAACGGTTCCACCACAGTCCTGATCTCGTCTTTCGACCGGGACCTTTCCCGATCATGTGACCGCCGTGATAGCGAACCAAGGCGGTCACATGTCTCTAAAACCCCGCTCGCCTCCCGGCTTCTGGAACCCTTAACCTCCTTAGTGGTATTCCCGAGTGTAGCTCGGGGTAAAATTTGAGTACCAAGAGCGGTAACCCCGAGCTACACTCGGGCTTACCATGCGGCGCTACATAGGGAGTCCCTGCAGCACTTACCTTGTCCTTCGCTCCCGTGATGTGTCCCCTGCAGCGTCCCCGGCCATCTCATCCGGCCGATGCCAGCATCCGGCTTCCGTGTTCCGGTCCCTGTGACGTCGGGACTGGCAGCAAATTTGAAATTTTTAAAAAATCTCTTTTTTGCTGTCATTACTGTTTCAATACATTTCACATACCGTATATATACTCGAGCATAAGCCGACCCGAATATAAGCCGAGGTACCTAATTTTACCACAAAAAACTGGGAAAAACTATTGACTCGAGTATAAGCCGAGGGGGGAGGAAAAATGCCCCATCGTTGGTGTCAGTGGGGGGAGGAATAGTGCCCCATCGTTGGTGTCAGTGGGGGGAGGAATAGTGCCCCATCGTTGGTGTCAGTGGGGGGAGGAATAGTGCCCCATCGTTGGTGTCAGTGGGGGGAGGAATAGTGCCCCATCGTTGGTGTCAGTGTGGGAGGAATAGTGCCCCATCGTTGGTGTCAGTGGGGAGAGGAATAGTGCCCCATCGTTGGTGTCAGTAGGGGGAGGAATAGTGCCCCATCGTTGGTGTCAGTGTGGGAGGAATAGTGCCCCATCGTTGGTGTCAGTGGGGGGAGGAATAGTGCCCCATCGTTGATGTCAGTGGGGGGAGGAATAGTGCCCCATCATTGGTGTCAGTGGGGGGGAGGAATACTGCCCCATCGTTGGTGTTAGTGGGGGGGAGGAATAGTGCCCCATCGTTGGTGTCAGTGGGGGGAGGAATAGTGCCCCATCGTTGGTGTCAGTGGGGGGAGGAATAGTGCCCCATCATTGGTGTCAGTGTGGGAGGAATAGTGCCTCATCGTTGGTGTCAGTGGGGGGAGGAATAGTGCCCCATCATTGGTGTCAGTGGGGGGAGGAATAGTGCCCCATCGTTGGTGTCAGTGGGGAGGAGGAATAGTGCCCCATCGTTGGTGTCAGTGGGGGGAGGAATAGTGCCCCATCGTTGGTGTCAGTGGGGGGAGGAATAGTGCCCCATCGTTGGTGACCCCTGCTCCAGCCTGGGCTCGCTCGCTCCCTCCCTCTCCCATGGTACACACTTACCGGTCAGATGTCTTTCTTCTCCGGCCGCTCTCCTCCTCTTCACTCGCTCGATCTTCGCGGTGCCGCTCGGCTCCTCCTCTCCAAGCTCCACCTCCTCGCCGGTGATTGGGCGCCTGTGTGCCTCTCCTGAGCTACAGTTCCGGCGGCCAATCACCGGCGAGGATTGATCCCGGGGGTGTGTCCAGATGACAGGCACGGCATGTCATCTGCAGACGTTGACTCGAGTATAAGCCGAGGGGGCCGTTTTTCAGCACAAAAAATGTGCTGAAAAACTCGGCTTATGCTCGAGTATATACGGTATATTTTGTCCCGAGTGCTTTGTCCGGCGCCCTGCCTGCATTTTTACTGTTCTTTCTGCCTGGAAACTTAGAAAAGTCCATGGCGTCCAAAAAGCGTCCCTTTACGTCAAAAGCGGTTTTAGACCGGCTAGAGAACAGCGATAGTAAATCAGAACCACTTGCAGAATTGAGTGATAATGATTCGTGGGGGAAATTCGTCATCAGACACTGAAAACGATTTTGCGACTTTGCTCAGCGATGTGCGAATTTGCCTCTCTATTTCAAATTTCAGTGTTTTTGGTTTGATTATATTATTGAATTAAATTTATTATTATTATATTATTATTTTTTTATGATTATTTATTAAATTATAATTTATGATTTTGTGTTTCAAGTTTTATCATACCCGGGATGTTTACTAGACTCTTGTTCGGACAGATTTCAGTGAGTAATTCCTAAAAATTACAGCCTACAATAAAAAACTATATATTTCCATGCAAAAAAAAGGTACCGCTTTCAGCACAAAAAAATCTGAAAGAATCATACCGCCGAGGAGGTTAAAGGGACGGGAGGCACCGGCACCAAGGGGTTAAAGTTCATTTGTAAAGGACAAGGCACTAGGCCGGTGCGCCCTCTGATTGTTTATTATTGCAGTGCCTCTAGGCTTCCCCAGTCTTGTGAGGGCAGCAAGGCGAGTGCATCCAATGGGGGCCAGGATTTGACTGCAGTCCACTAACTCTTTTTGGACCTACCCTCCAAGCGCAGGAGCATTGACGTTTCTCCGGTTCTGAACCGTTATCAATCCCAGCTATTTAAATCGTCTCGTTTTCCTAATATTTCAGTAGCAAAACCCTATCTCATGCAGCGACAGTGATGTCTGTGCAAAAACACGACCGCCAGACAAACACACGGACACGTGTAAACATCAGTGAGCGCAGCCTGCTGCGCCGCCCTTCTCCCTCTCATACGAGTATAGTAACAGTTAAGCCATTTTTCTTTTTAATTAAACTCATTAAGAAGATGAAACAGTGGAGGCTTTGAAAGGGGAAGTGTGCCTGCGGCAGGTAAACGCGTCTCTTTCCCCGCTGCTAATATTATTCTAGTTATGAAAATAAGCGAGTATTCTGGCACCATCCCGGAAACAGGGTGGGATGAGGGGGGTGAGGGGCGCTGAAAGCTCCCTATTGTTACAGCACAAGAAAAAGCCTCTTTTCACTGCTGGCAAAGGTGAGACAAAGCAGTTTTCATAATGATCTCCAGACAGGCCCGAGGTGGATTGATGCAGCTTCCGCCTGTTCCTGTTTGACGTGGGCTGCCAAACTTTCCGGCCGTGCACCAGGCCTCTCTACCCCCCCCCCCCCCCACCGGTGACGCTTCTCATCAGGCTCTGGGGAATGTCAGCTGGAAATGTGCGCGGTCTGGAGATATGTGGGGGTTCATGTCAGCCTAGAGGACAGGACCAGATCTGAGAGATTAATATAAAAACACACGATTACTCTACTTGTTCAGTTATATCGCACTGACAGATTACATTGCTTGTTCCCCATGATGGGGAACCTTCTAATATAGCAATCTGGACTAAGATTCATATTAAACGCCCATGAGTACAAAAAGGGTACGAATTATTAATCACAACATCATATATAAAATACAGAGTTATAATTATAGCATAACAGAGGGATATACCATACCCTCACTGTCTGTCAAACACCTATAAAAAAAAGTGATCCAAGCGCAGATCGCTTTTCAGAGGCTTGCCAATCTTGCTGCACCGCTTAGACTAACACTAATCCTCACTGAAATCCTAACACAAACCTAACCTGTAGCCTAACACTAACCCTCCCTGTAGCCCTAATGCTAACCCTCCATCTAAATCTAACACTAACCCTCTTTGTAGCCATAATGCTAACCCCTCCCTCTAATCCTAACACTAACCTTCCCTCTAATCCTAACACTAACCTTCCCTCTAATCCTAACACTAACCTTCCCTCTAATCCTAACACTAACCTTCCCTCTAATCCTAACACTAACTCTCCCTCTAATCCTAACACTAACCTTCCCTCTAATCCTAACACTAACCTTCCCTCTAATCCTAACACTAACCCTTCCTCTAATCCTAACACTAACTCTCCCTCTAATCCTAACACTAACCCTCCCTCTAATCCTAACACTAACCTTCCCTCTAATCCTAACACTAACTCTCCCGCTAATCCTAACACTAACCCTTCCTCTAATCCTAACACTAACCCTCCCTCTAATCCTAACACTAA